GGTGGTGGTACAGCGAGGCCAATTAAATACTTGAAGTGCGCTGGATACCGTACGACCATAGCAGCTTTGAACTGAAGAACATATGGTAAGAAATCATCATTACATCTAGTCCGCTATTCTCATCAGTCTCACTGTACTCTTATTTAAGCAATGGGAACAGACCTGATGGAGTTCTTGCAAGGGAGGGAAATAAGAAAATAAGCAGGTTTGAACTGGAGGGATCCATATGCTAATCATTTTCTYATATATGTATTTGCACCAGTAAGACTCTGAGAATAGTTGTCATATACTTTAGTTTAGGATGTCAATATTTATCTTGAGGCCTTTTTTTGTCAGGCTGATTTTCTTCAACATCGATTGCTTGGTATATTAGCCTTCTACAACACTGTACTCGTTACTAATAGTGACTTGGAAGAAAAGATGCTGGCTTTGAAAAGCCTTGTCAAACTCATGGAAATGATGGGACCGAAACACATCACCGCCGTGCGAGTCAAGGTACGAAAAAGATTCGTTATTGTAAATTTCATTTTCGAAAAAGAATGTGTACTGTCAGCCAAGCCAATGGTATGTCGTTAAATCCTCGAGATTGACATAGCAGGCCTAGGAGATCAGAGCTGGGAGTGAAGGCAAGCACGTTTCGAGCTTCTTCTAGCGCTTTTCTTGCGTCTGCCGTTCTGCCGATCCCCGCGTGCTTTATAACTGCACAAAACATGCGCGCGCATTTTCTATTCCTTCATAAGTCATCCTGAGAACCATTGAGTCGCRCAGTGTTTGTGTTTGCGCATCAGGGTAAAAGGCGCATTTTACAGATCACTTTTAAGAGTAGCATCAGCTGAAAGCGAAAGATTTGGTGTCAGAAAAGAAAACCTTAGTAAAGGTTTTGCACCATCACGTGACGGCAGCCATGTTAGATGGCAGGAACAATACAATCRTTTTACATAMRAAAGAATTCRATTCCCAAGAGCAAAGGGATTTTATTGTTCTGCCATCTAAACRCAGGCAGTCCAAGCTATATTACAGGCGYCGGCACGTGATGGTGCAAARCCTCTATTGTTTTTTCTTCTTTTCAGGTTATGGGTATCCTGAGGCTTGGTCTTAGATTCAAGGACACAGGGTTCCCAGAGCTATCCTGTGATGCCTGGGAGTGCTTCGTACGTAACATCGAACTGACAAGCCTTGGMCCAATGTTAAGTGAACTTATTGTCACCTTGCTTCCATACCTCACTAAACTCCCCGCCCGCGTAGCACAGATCTATTATTTCCTTATCGTTGAGAATAAAGCCGCGTTGAGTCAGTATTTYCATGAGATATATTTTCTACCTGACACGCCGGAGCTTAAGAAAGTGAATGCTGTGTTGAGGACTGCTAGTGGTTTGGCATCGAGAAGGCTAGACTTGAAGACACAGCTGAAGAGAGCTCTCAAGGGTGTGGTACATGAGAATATTGATGTGCGGAGACATGCGTTGTCTAAACTGAAACAGCTTCTACGCGACAATCAGGTAACTAAAATATCGCCTTATTATTTAAAACCTTGTTCATGTTTTTTAAAGTCAGAAAAACGTACGGCCCGCGAATCGTCACATTATCTTGTGTTCTGGCCTCGAACTCAGACTCAGACTCGGACATCTAGAATTGTTTGCGTCTTATCGCTCTAATCTATGTAGCTAAAAAAGTTCTGGTTGCCGCAGTTCTGTTGCGAAATTTCAGTGAACTACAAACAATCTAAAACGTATGGAACGCGAAAAAAAATTTCTTCCGACCTTACACGTCTACATTCAATGTGGTAATCAATCGCGTACCCAGAGTCTGCGGCGAAGAACGAGGTSTCTGGCATAATCCATTTTTTGAGACCAGGATTTCTTGGACTTCCGGTATAAGAGCGCATGCGTTCAAAGCCTTGCCAACAATGAAAAAATGAGTTACCATTTCTAATTTTGATTTTGATCGAAAGTAAACACGGAACTCCATTTAAAAGCATAATATTCATTGATTATATTTCACTTCCGGAAAATTGCGCATGCGCCAAAAATGGATTATGCCAGAGCCCTTGTTCTTCGCCGCAGTCCAGAAGAAATGCAGACTCTGAGTACGAGATGGAGTAGTAATTCACATGTATACAGCGTGCGCGCTGGTTGCATGTCTTAAAATGGAACAGCGATATGTAAAATAATGTGGTGTTCGACGTTTGACTAGAGCCTGAATRATGTCAACTTTCTACTTTTATTCAAAGGCCTCGCTCCATGAATACGTGTTGAGTAACGAGACAGTCGATCCTATTATACCAGAGATCGTTAGTGTGGTAAGTAAACCTCTCACACATCAGAATTCCTTCGAGTGTGAAAAACAGACGGTACTTGAGCAAATTGGCAGGTAAACGAGTGCAATTCACTCCTAATAACCTCAGCATAACCTTCTTYCCTCCACTCCCCCCAAAAAAGATTAGATGAGGGGGTCAAATCCTAGTAGTCTAAACCATTTCTCACCTTTCACWTGTCTTGTATGTGTTAGTTGATATCTAGTTGCCGTGAGACAGATTCTGAATC